AGTCCCCACCTTGCTCTGAAGCCACTCACAGTGACCGGCCTGGAGCACAGCACTTTCCCTCGGAGACCCCGGGAGGACCGCCCGCTCAGGGCTCAACTGTGTGCCCCATGCCTGCTCCCATGTCACCTGCCAGAAGTCTCACGTGTGCACCTACTTCTCCTGCAGCTACGGCAGTCACCACATGCAACAGCAGCATTTTGCACAAATCACATGCTGCTTAACGCTGGGACGCTGATATCTGCTCCAGGTGGGTTTTTCTTAATGTAAGTCAACACATCAATCTGGAAGCACACACATTGCTTGTGTTCAGGATCCAAACAGAAATGACGTGTAATGAGAAGACTTTAAAACAAAAAACCCTCGAGCGTGTACAGGTGGGGTGTGTGTACACCGGGGTGGGGGCGGCTCGACCTGTCTCATAGAAACAGGGAGAAGAGACGGTCCCTGCCTCATCCCGGGCTGCAACCACACGCACCGCGCAGAGCCCGCGTGGACGCGCCGCTCGCGCTGACTCGGAGCCGGAGAGCCTCCCCCGCCCCGCTCAGCCCCGCGTCGCGGGCTGTGACAGCGTCCGCAAGCTCCATTCTGCGTCCTCAGGCCGCGGCGCAAACAGGCTCCTGTGGGCTGACCATGCCACGTCCACAAACGGGCCTCGCTTAACCGCCCTCCCCACGCCGCGTGGCGCTTTCAGGGACCCAGAAAACGACAGCTCGAAAATAAGTATTTGGCAGGAGGGTATAAAGGCTCCCGGCAACACCGATGCCACGCGGTACGGGATCCATCTTAATTACTGTCCGTGCGGAATTCTTTTCTGGTGGCTTTTTTTTTTCAACGAGAAAACATTAATGAGAAACTTTAAAGGCTTGTTAACAACGTCCTTTCATCAGCCAGAGGCGCTGTCAGCCGGGCTCTGCCGTCAGTTTGCACCTCGCGCCCAGCGCCCGCTTCCTCCGTCCTCAGCCCGCCCCGCGCAGGGCCCTGTCGGCCGCCCGGCTGATGGAGGCCAGACGCTCCCCATCTGTCAGCAGCTGGAGCCACGGGGTCCCGAGGACTCCGGACGGTGCCCTCGTCGCCGGGAGGCGCGGCGGTACCTGCAGTTTCTCCACCTCCCAGCGCTTCAGACAGACAGACAGACAGACAGACAGGGGCTGCTGGGAAGAGGCCTTTGTCCCCTTTAAATCTCAACGTCTTTCAAACTGATAAGTAAAATTGACGTGGACTTCAGCTTCTTAAATGCGAACTTTCAATCAAATGCCCATGAACGAGGAGAAAGCCTCCATATGGCCTGAAGGAGGCCGATCCCACGCCCACCCGAGGGCCCGCGCCCACCTCGCCGCCCGCAGGAGACGCGCGGGCACCGCGGCTGGGGGCTGCGGGCCGAGGGCGGTTTCCCAGTTGGGCTTTTAGGGAAATATTTTTAGTAAAATAGAAAGATTTTCTTCCCCTTACTTCCCACATTAAGCCAATTTATCACTTCAGAGTATTCTATGCTGTTTGAAACCCAAATTGCACCAAGATGTCTGGCAAGCTCTGCAGTGACACGAACAATTTTCACCTCAGTTCAGTGACGTCCTGCCCTTTCCAATGGGGGCGAGGTCTGAGCTGCCAGCGCTGCCCACGGTCGCAGCTAGGAGTGCCGACGCCAAGGCAGGCCCTCGGCTGCCGCGTGGGAGAGTGAGACACACCTGCGGCACCGCCATGCCCCCGAGGGCCAGGCCAGGGGTTGCCTGAGATCCGAGAACGCATCTCTGGAGGAGGAATCCTCACGGCGCTGCAGGACTCTCCCCGAGTGGCTCCCCTGGAGGTGGTCCACGCCCCCAGGGCTCCTGCTGGAGCACACCACGTTCAAGGTTTTACGCAATCTGTGTGCACAGGTTTTATTCTCATCCTGCGGCTTCGCGGCAAAGAGGTTCTGGGACTGACACTGTTGCTCACAAACGATTTAAGAAGCGAAGTCAACGGTCTCCACACCAATGTATCTACACGGGACACACTCGCCCCCACACAGAGGGCTCTGGGTCACCACACAGCTCCTAGGGAGCGGGAGCCACAGGAGAAGAGGTGTGCCCGGGAAGAGACAAGTCACACAGACGATTTCCATTCTAGCGGTTCAGTAAGTGGTTTCTGCTGGGCAGGATGTGTGTATGAATTAAAGATCCCAGCTGTATATAAAGCTTGCCCACTTCCTCTGAAATACCCACTGCCTGGAACCTCTGCACCCGGAACTGTAAGTTAATGATCCCACCAAGGTCTACGATTCCCCAGGTAAGAGCCCTTCCAGACTCCCTGACTCAGCACTGCCAACACCGTGATGCCCACGTTTCCATGGCTGTTTCTCTTCTTTGGGCCTGATGAAGTTTCATCAGGCCATGTGGCCACAGGACGAGCTGAGTGGGGGTGGGTTTACCTGACACTTTTGCTCCTAACATGGGAGACAGATTGGGAGAAAAATACACCCACCTCTCCTAAAATTCAGTCTCCCACACGGCAAACGGCACCTACTTCGTTTTAAGTATGGTTCTGCAAAAACAAATCTGTCTGAGTCTTTTGTTATCTCAGCCTCTGGAAACAGTAGACCAGCATGGCTGGTACGAGCTGCTGCACGGAGCCGGCGGCCACGTCACCGCGGGTCTCCATGTCAGCCTCGAAGCACCGTGGTGCAGGACACAGAAACCTGATAGGTGGGGTGGACCTGGGGCCAAGGCCGAAGAACACAGCTTTCTTGTTTCGACATTTCTTTTTATTTGGAAAATATTTTTGTATTTCTTTGTGCCTTCTCTTTCCCTTTTTATTTTCACAAGCTGTGCTGCAACTTCGAGCTGAGCGGCTCTAGGCGACCTGCGCGCTGGCTTTTCATGTCGGCTCTGCAGAGCTTGTCCTTGGAGCGGTACACGGCCGTGCTGGTTTGAGCCCTGCTGTTGCCTCCGTCAGAGAGAACCTCGGGGCATCCATCAAGCCTGCTACGACAGGGCCGAGGAAACCCTTGGAGACGAGGCAGAGCGTGGTTTTGTGCCGCACCAAAGGCATGGCCCGAACAGGGGTCCAGGCTGCATGACACTGGGTCGCCACGGCTGGCTTTGATGGGGGGGGTACCCTGGCCACTGACCTGTGCTGGGGGGCTCAGCCCTCGCTGGATGCAGTTTTATGAGCCCAGGACCCTCCCTCAGAGCCGGGCCCTACTTGGGAACTTGGAGATCACGTTGGGAGGCTGTCGTCCCTTATGGGCCCAAATAGGGGGGACGGCTTGTGTGCAGCCCACGTGCCTGGTCCACGTGCGGCACAGAGGCGGCATGCACGGTCTCGGAGCCATACCGGGAGCCGTCCGAGTTCCCCTGCGGCTCACTTTCCAGTTCACGCTGAAGCAGAGGAAGGGGCGGGGGTCTCCCAAACAGCACAGTGCACGGCGCTAGTGCCCTCTGTTGGAAAGCACTCACGCACCACACAGCCCAGCAAGGCCCGAGGCTGCTGCCTTTGAGAACCCCAAGTTTCTGGTCTGTTCTGGCAGAGGAGAAAGCCACAGCATGATGTCACCCGGCGACCGCCGACGGCTGGGGAGCAGCACTGCCCGGAAGAACGCAGGGCACGGCCCGCGGCAGAGTGCACCCGGCTCTTCCCACCCACCTCCTGGTGACACCAAACACACAGCAATGGTCCCCTCTGCCCCCAGAGTGAGAAAACCAGAAATGACCGAAAACAGCCCTGCGGCCGGAGGGCAGTGTGCTCGGTGTGCGCCCAGCACCGAGCGGCTTGCCGGGAGTGAGGCGGCCCAGGCTTTGTCCTGAACACCAGAGCCCCATGGGAACCACTGTGAGTGTGACTCACCTGGCTTCGAAGGTATTGAGGAGGGACACTTGTATCACTTTACATTCCAGGGAAAAAGATCCAGAATTTGGCCGATGTAAGAAAAGGATACGCTTAATCTAAGTCACTGAGACAAGCCTGAAGCTGGTTTTCGTTAGGCACCTGCGCTTCTGTGGCAGGTAACACGAAATGTACAGCACGTCCAACCGTACAGGTGACGAGGCTGTGTCTTTCTCCGGGTTTCGGTGACCTGCACGAACCACGCGAGCTTCCCCGCTGCGGTTTACACTCATGAGGAGCCCTGGATGAAACACGCTTTCCACGGCACGGTTGGGCACAGCTCGTTTTCTCCATCTATCAAGAGCTCCACTTTATTTATCCGTTTGCAAAGCTGAAAGTTTCCCTTCCGCTTTTTGGATCTAGTTAATTACGCAGCTGAAACGACAACACGATAACGAAGTCTCAGACTGTGGCGCACGGCAGACGCTGGAAACCCTCCCTTCTGCCGTCGGCAGCAGGGGCTGTCGGGAGCGACTTCCGACTTTCAGGATCGACGCTGAGCTGCGGGGGCCCTCACAGGCCCGCGGGTCCTGAGGTCCCTTGGTCACCCCAAAGGCTTCTGGGAGGAGAGGCCTGTGTCCCCCTCCTCTCCTGCTGCCCAGGGCACCATGCTAAGGAGTGGCAAGGGGGCTGTGACCCTGGGTAAGACTTGAGCTCCCAGAAGGGTGCTGGTGCGACCAAACTCACGCCAAAGAGCTCTTTATCTTCCAAATCTTCACCAGGAATGGTTAATTTCCATTCAGTTCATACAGACCACAACGGATGCATCTTGCATTAGATTTTCTGGCAGTTGGGAAAACGAAGGCACAAAACCTCTAGTAAGCATCCACTTCCATGGCCTGTTCTCTGTCCTTCAGCAAGACCTGAGTGCGGGACAGTGACCACTGTGCACCTGGGCAGCGGGGACAGCCAGGAAGCAAGGGCACTGTGGGACCGTACTGGGGTGGGGACCTTCCCAGTGTGGACAGACACAGGTGCAGCCCGCGACAGCCATGAGCTGGTCCTGGGGACGTCTGCGGCAGCCAGCTGTTGTCAGTGTGTACCAGACGCCACCCGTCTTCCCCACTCTCTTGTTCCTGTTTCAAAAGACGTTAAAAATGAAAGAACAGGGTCAGAGAAGGGACAAATGACACACACGATGGCTGGGCCTCTGGGTTTATTCTGCTGTAAAATCTAGAAACGAGAGGACAGACACACAGAGTCCCACCAGGACACACCCGCCTCTTTTAACACGCGGCCCCACCCCCCTTCCCATGCAGCGCTACACGTACGCGCCACTGCAACGCTCACTTCCTCTGCACTCAACTCCGGCCAGTGTGCTAGGGGCTGGCGCCGTCCCCCGCTGCCCCGAGCCAAGCCCTGGCCGGGCCCGAGCTCCCTGCCCGGTTCGGCTTCCCTGTCTGGTCGCCTTCGTGTGCCAGAAGCCACTCCTTCACGGCCACGCCTCCGGAGTAGCTGCCCAGGGCTCCGCTGCTGCAGACCACGCGATGGCACGGGACGAGGATGGGGACCTGAAAAACAGGGGCAGCTACAATCAGTCCAGGCGGGCTCTGGGCCCTGAGGCCTTTGCGGCCAAGGCCAAGGCTGGACCACGACAGGTCTAGTGCCCCCAAGCGGGGGCTCATGCCGGGCGGGCTAGTGGCACCAGGGGTGGGGCCAGTGCCGGTTTTGTCTCGGCATCAACACCCCTTCCCCAGGCCAGGCCCCGAGTCCCTGGGGGTCTTGGCACGGGCCAACGGAGGGACTCACGCCCTGAGGTGAAACAGGCATCTTCCTTGGGATGAGTCCCTCTTAGGCAAAGGTTTGGGAGGAGAAAACCATTTTAAGTTCCCAGTGGTATGTAGTAACATTCTCAAACATTTCCCGGACAACGGGAAGCTTCCGAGGAGGCTACTGCACAGGCCACCGCCTAGGCCCAGGGCAGCCCGCCCTGTGTTTGCAAATACAGTTTCACTGGAACACAGCCAAGCCTTTTGCTACTTACTGTCTGTGGCTCCAGAGAGTTCCAAACAGGAGGCTGTGCTGCTCACTCAACTCCAAAGCCCGGAGGATAGGGCTCTGGTCACAGCCTCCGTGGGCCTCCTATAGCACCCGACCTGTTATTTTCCCAGCCTGGGGCTGGCACGATACACTGCAGGTCTACAACCGGATGCCAAGCGCTTACAGGTGCTGAATGGGATGGAGCATCACAACCAAGCGACCTGCTTATTGTTCCTGCCGCCACACACAGGCCCACGGTCCTGTCTGATGCTGTCTTTGTAGCCAGTGCCACCAGGAGAAGGGAAGCCCCATTCCTTCCAGAGGGGCGGGCACCTTCTTCAGCAGATGTCCTCAGGGAAACCTTCCGCCCTGGTCCTGCTGCCGGGCAGGGGAGGCAGGAGGAGCCCCAGGTCCACCGTCTGACTGAGGTTCTGACAGCCTCATGTGGTGGCTGGGGGCACTTGCTGTTGCTCCTGCCTTTGGTTTCCATGTGGAGGGACACGGCTGGCCCCACCCACCCTCACCCCACGGCGGGGGGACCAGTCACTGCCCATTGATATGGGAGGAAGGGACGGGCACACCCAGCTCAGCACCTTTTGGGTTTCTGCGGGTGACTCGCCTGCCCCAGGGTGTGAGGCGCCCTGACCACGCCTGAGACACGGTCACTCCTGTGCCGGCGGGGAGCCCTGAGCTCTAACTCCAGCGGGAATCACCAGGAAGCTGCCCAGCCGTGCCCCACCACCCTCTAATCTTGCTTTTATCCTCATGAAGCTAAAATCTTGGCGCCCTCCACCCATTTCTCAGCTGGCTCAGGGCATAGGTGGACAATACAGGGACGACCGTACAGAAGTCACCTCTGTCTACCTCGCTCCCCGAGAAGCCAGGGGAAATACTTCAGAGCACGCCAGGGATGGCCACACACCTGGGGGCCACCAAACTCAAGGTACGTCCTGTGTGCCCACTGCAGGGGACTCTGGGTGCTCCATGGACATGTGCCCAAGGATCCCAACAAGCAGCTACTGAGAAGAGCCACACTGGGACCATTTCCCAAGAGGGGTGTGTGGTGACATCTCGGCATAGTCTCATTTTTCCTACGAAAGAACTGGCCTGAGAGTCCCCAGGGCACCAGCCTTCTTCCTAGGAGCTCATGGTGACCAGGGAGAAGGGTGTGGGTGGTCAGCCACTGGGAGCCTGGGACGCGGGGGGACACAGCTCATCATCGCGCAGTTTCACGGCGGCTACTCCGTGAAGAATGTAGACTGCCAACACGCATGATGACAGGAACTGGTGCTGGCTGGAGAAGGGGGAGGGCACTGGGCTCGCTCCAGAAGGTTCTCAGCTGCCACAACATTGGGACAGCCAAGGAGGTGTCCAGGAACCACTCATTGACAACCCCCGTCCATCCTGCAGCTCTCAAGAGCCGTCCCACTTGTCCCCGCAGCCCAGACGCCCCGGACGCAGATCCCGCAGACCCAGGCCCATCTTGGCACTCACATGGCTGCCCGGGTCCACATGTTGGGCCACAGTGAGAAAGCAGCCGTTCCTGCAGGATCCCAGGGGTGAGGAGTCCCCAGGCTACCACCAGGTATTGCCCCACAGCTCAACGGACGAAAGATCTCCAGCCCACCTGTTCCCCAGCTCTACCCTCCAAAGCAAGTGAACTGGCAGAAGCAACCGCCAGTCAGGTGAGGTTCTAGAGGAAGCAGCCAGGCTCTCGCACCTGCATCTTCAAGCTCTGTGCATCAGGCCCCTCTGCTTCCTGGAGTGGCAACTCCTAAAGGCAGCCCTGTTGTCACCACCGTGCACTCGCCCGCCACAGACTTCACCTGCCAGGTGTGCCCTCTGTGGGGCCTGGCTACCCTGCGTCCCCGGGGACAGGGTAATACCAGCCCCGCCTTGGACAGGGTGATTAAAGCCCTGGGAGCAGGTGGACCCCGTGCCCAATGCTGCACGGTTACATCCCATCACCCCCAACACTCCCCACCAGGTACGTCAACCTCACGTCCCATGGGATTTCTCGCCCAAGTTTCCAAGGCTGTGAAGAAGCGAAGGTGGGGTTCCAACCACTGTTCCCCTGATGGCTCCAGGCGCTGCCTCTCCTGGACCTGGGGCCCTGCTGCTGGCAGGTGACGTGGCTGCGAGGCTCTGGCTTCCCTCACGTCACAGAGCTGTTCCTGGTCTGCCTAGGCGTTTGCGTCACCATGGTATCGTGCACAGTGACGCAGTCTGAGAGGGTTCTGACGACTGCCTCGGGACAGCAAGGGTGACGCAGAGCTGACTTCCGGCATCGCGTTTAACAGAGCGAAGAGAAGTAACTGCCAGGTCCTGCCGACTGCAGAGAATCCCAACCTTCTGGGAAGGAGCAGCAAAAAATTTCAGGAACGGGATATTTACCCTCACTGACGATTTTCATCAAATAGTCACATTAATGATTGTAGCAAGGACAACAGATAATATGCAATTCATGTTTCTGACTGATAAAGAGGTAAGTATTTGATGCAACCTAGTTCTACGAGCACTTAGCCACCAATTCAGTTTCCTACCTAACAGCACATTTCACAACTGAGCTTTGATTCTTTTTTTCCTCCCTCTCAACGAGCTATGAAATTATAAAAATGAATAAAATAAACGTCTCTTCTCCCTCTTTCTCAATAGGAATGCAGAGGCTAGGACAGGTGGCACAGGACGACAGTGACCCTGACAGCCAGGACCAGTCTCACGCGAGCCGTGGTGGGCAGCAGGTCGCCTACCAAATAGGTGCCATTTCCACCATTAGGAACAAGGAACGCCGCTTCCGCTCGCGTTAATTTAGGCGGCGGGTTTCACACTATTAGAATAATAAGACCTGCTAAAATTTACTGGGGCCCTAAGGACATTTTCAAAGGCTTGGTACCCTCCGTGCCCTCTCCTTTAAAGCCTGTGCTGCATAAAATGTAATTTTTATCAATAACCAAGAAGCTCATAATATCACAGCTGCATTGAAATCTTCACGCTGTGAAATCTAATTCTTCCAATACCCGAATCCATCACTTACGCAGCCCCTTTCTCAAATGCTATAAAACTTCCAAACCCATAGATTTGTCTCCAACAAAAATAACATGAAGGGGCCTTTCAATCAATAATGGAATCCCTCTGATGCTGGTACCCGCTGAATATTTTTTCCAACTTCGCCTTTGTTCTTCGGGGCAGCAGCCCACAAGGGAAAGGGCTTGTTTTCACTCGCAGCCTCATCAATACCTAAATCCTGGTGAACAAGTGACACCGAGAAGCTGTAATCAATAGCTCCCTGTGCGTTTTTTTCTTCTGGTCAAATGGTTCAGCTCCACTGACAACCCTGACACTTAGAACATGATGCTAAATCTTTATCAACAGCCATCTGGGTGACTGGCAGAACAAGACTCGGGGGTCATTAGCGCTCACGGCCATGTGTGAATAAACTCACTCCTCAGGAATGCGTTTGTTTAGAAAAAGGTGGGGAGACGCTCTGTGCAATGTATTGATTGCCTTTGAACTGCATTTAGCAAATTCTGTCTGAGGATGAAGAGGAAGGGTGTTTCGTGGGGGGAGGGCTGTGAGATTTCAATTCTGTGTATGGGGAAACTGACCATCCTCTCATGCCGGGTGGAGGGGCAGACAGCCTTCTAGAACATGGGCTAGCGAGTCCTCCCTGGAAAACTTTGGAAAAATCAAGCTCCTTGGATGGAGGAAACTTCCACACAGCAAAAAGCATCCCCTACCCTGGTTGGGGAAGAGAAACTCACGCAACAGCAAACGCTGTAATACGAACCAGCGTGCGTTCACGTTTATTGCGAACCACCTAAGGAATTAATGCACAATGAGCTTTATGGTGTTTTCTAACATTCCAAATCCATTTTTCACTCTCCTCTCTTAAATGCACAATCGCTCTATTCAGCCTGAACATAAGAGATGTGTTCAATGAGCACGTCTCAACGGCGCACCGTCTGGGCTAGAGTGGATGTGCATAGTCCTCCGGCTGAGCTGCTGCTGTCAGCACCAACAGGAAACACACACTGAGGACATCGATGGCAGTCATGGCCTGTCACTGACCAGGGCCCCTTCCTCCCTCAAGTGCCTGGGTCACCTTTTGATCCCCCAAACCCATCGAGTGAAGTTTTTAATGGGAACTTGACAGGAACCTGTCAACCTAAACCATAGTAAACCACGCAGGTGAAGAAGTTTTCTTGCAGGAGTATCTCTGGCATGGCTGTGCTATAGTTGGAGGCATCTCCCGGGTACTGCAGCTGCTGGCACTGCTGCAACCTCCTCCTCAAGTTCAAGGTCACTGCATGAATTGAAGCCTGTAAAAAGGCCACGGGAGGACTCACCACTACCCGGCTGCCCTCGGCACAGAAGGGACGCAAGACGTGGTGCCTGTATGGTGCCTTCCTGTCCAATGCCGTGGGCACCTCCAGTCTGGGCTGCGGCTCATGACTGGGGTGGCGATACGTGGATTTTATGGACATTAGGGTTTTAAACCCTACGAGATCCTATGTTATAAATTTCAGTGGCTGAGGCCATATTGGAACAGAGACACTCATAGAGATTAATAGCGGGAGAAGAGCGCCAGCCTGGTTTGCGGAACAATAAATGTTTCCGAATATTGCCACAAGCAGGGTTGCTAGCCGGCGATGGCATCTCCACTGCAGAGAGTGAGTAACTGCTCGCGTCACCAAGGGCAGGTGGGGGGCGTGTGTTACTAATTTGTACGCGTCAGTTAGTGGAGCTTGTTTTCACGGCAAAAGATGGGAGCTGCGCACACTGAGGAAGCCGGCGGAGTGGGCGCCCGCTGACGGGGCACCTCCATCCTCGTCTCCAAGTGTGCTCTCGGAGGGCATCGAACCAAACCTCAGTGGGGGAGGAGAACGACTCACTCTACCCAGTGGGCACGAGAGAAGAAACTCTGCCTGACACAGTCATTGCAGTGACGCGGGAGGAGGAAGCAAAAAACCGTCAGCATCCCACGATCTCACAGGATGTTAAACGGGGCCATGGCCCAGCAGCTGCCTTTTTATCTACAGCAAAGCTGAACTCCTCAGCACTGAGTCACAACCTGGGAGAAGACGGAGACGGTGGCCTTCCAAAGGGATTAAGCTTCACTGGGAAATGTCAAAAACCATCTTCAGAAATTTGATCAGAACGTCCCACAAGCACCGTAAAAACAAGAGCCGCAGCGTGTGGAGGGGTGTTTCTCAGTGACGTAGCCGAGCACTCTGCAATCAACACGCAGCAGGTGCAAAAGGACATGCCAACCGCGCCCACCCGCCATTGCGCTGAAACTGAGGGCGTGCAGGGGCCGGAGAGGCGGGCGTGGCGGGCGTCCTGTCATCTCACTCCTGACAAGTCGGGATATTTTAACGTGGTGGAAAACCTCCCCAGACTAGGGTGTACGCTACGACAATCCGATCCACTGCAGACCTACGGCAGCTGCTTTTAAAGAACAACAATGTGGTTCTGTGCAAAAGGCTACCTGACGGCCATCTCCTAGGAACGGAGGGGCTGCCCTGCGGCTGCTGCCCGAGCGGGAGCGCAGGCTGTGGCAGAAACGCCTGCTTCTCCCTCGCGAGCGGGGACGAAAACAGTTCCAGAAACACACACAAAACCATAGCAATTTTTTGAAAGTGGGGTCTGACAGTAATTTCCCACCTGTGATAGGATGATCACATTTGCTCTCCCTGATAAGACGGCTTTCGTACAGCTTTAGGGAGACAGCACACCCTCACCAGGCCCTGCGCAGGTAATGAGACCCGGACTGTCCCAGGGCAGTCCTGAGGTGGTACAGACTCTCCCAGAGGGACCTGCGCACTGGGTGTCCTTCCTGCCCACTTGCAGGGTCCACAGGCACGCGTGGCCCTGGCCAGGCCCACGACACGTGCCATACATGACTCCCCCAGCTCCAGGCACCGCAGCTGTGCAGCCAACCCCACGCTGAGGCCCAGCCCTGTCCTTGGGGAGCAAAGCCCGGGGCTTCATGAGGTCTAGGAGCCCCCAGCTTGGTAAAACCTGAATACAGACACACGGGAGGGGAGGACGCGGACACAGAAGGGCCCTGGGGGAGGGCACCGCCCCGCTGAGGTGCGGCCCGAGGCGGTACATCGTCCCAGGCCGCAAAGACCCACACCTCGTGTGCTCGTGTGTTGCGCTTTAACCCTCCAGACCCAGGGCAGCCCAGGCCTTGGTGACCGAGCGCAGCCCCGGGGAAGTGGGCTGGATTTGCACCTTTCGTGGTCCTAGAGCACAGGCTCTGCGTGGGCAGGCCTTGCTGTGGTCTTGTTTGCTGCTGCGCTCCGGGCACTGCGGAGAGCCTTGGCCACACAGCGGGCTGCCCAGTGAGTGAGTGAGTGAATGCATGGGGGCCGCCCGCCCGCCCGCCGGCCTCTTCTCCAGGCTTCCCCTCTGGCGTTCACTGTGACAACAAGGGGCTCGTGTCGTGACTCGAACCCAGAGGCTTCGTCGGTGGTGTGTGGTGCTGGGTAGGTGCCGGCACAGGCGTTTCCCCTTGTCCCCGCCCAGCTGCCCAGGCTGCCTGGGAAACACGATTCGGACAATGGCACCCAGCCCCCCGGTGCGGCGCGGCCCCCACCGGCCGCGAGGACTCACAGGGTTGCTTCTCATTGCTCCTCCCACGGCCCGGGCTGCTTTGGGGTTGCCCGCCAGGGCTGCTAATTGCTGGTAAGAAACCGTTTCTCCGAATTTCACAACCTTCAGCAGCTTCCATAACACCTGTCTGGTGAACGAATCTGAAAGGAAGAATGCAGAATGCGTTATTTGGACCATGGCTCCAACAGCTCTGATACAAACAGCTGCCAGTCCCGACACAGAAAATGCGTCCACACAAATGGAGGTGTTACACTCAATTAAAACCCGGCGCCCACAGTGCCCTGTCACCATGTCGCCAGGCAAGGAGAAAGGCGTGCGAGGCAGGGTGCAAGCAGGCTGGCCCCGTGGGAGACATCCCCAAGTCCCCTCCTCCCACGTTCCACGCAGGACTGTGTGCGACGCTCTTCCCGTATCTGGGCACGGTAAGTCCGCGCACGGCTCAGGTAACGAGCACGGAGTCCCTGCCTGCCTACCTACTTGGAAACCTTTTGTCTGGCTGGTTATTTTCCAACTTCAGCTGGGACAAAGGAGGAAAGAGCAGCCGTGGGCCAGGCGGCGAGATCACGCTAGCTGTCCACACCCCGCAGCGCTGAGGATCCCCCCAGCTACTGCTCGGAATGCCAAGCCCCGTGGCACGCAGGGGCTGCCAGTGACCTTGGCTGCAGGCATCTTTAATGAATAGGGCTGCAAAAATAAAATAACTTTATTCCCATTTTAATTGACTAACCACATCAAATCGCATTTGCACTGCGTCCTGCTGCAGGAATGAATAGGTCAACGCACGAGAACGTTCTCTGCCTCTAGGTTTGAAAACTGTTTCCTCAGCGTGGAGTTTGTGGGAGAGAAGCCCAGGCACGCGAAGGAGGCTGCTCTGAATCGATACCTATTGTCTTTGCAAGGGGGACACGAGGCTCAGGAGCACTGGAGACGGAGCCACGTCCTCCAGCACAGGGCCGGAGCCCTCCGGGGGCAGGAGCCTCCGAATGGCCGCACACAGGGAAGGGCTCCGCAGGCAGGAACCATGTTCCGAGTGTGTCCACGACAGCGCTAATTACACTTGGTGCCAAGCTGGCAAAGTGCGATTTGGTTCTTAAAGGAAACACACCCTTACATGTGTGTTAAATAATAAAAATCACTTCTTAACTGAAGGGAACGATAATCACTTCACTGGGAAAAAAATCTGTTTAGCCTTTATTATAACATTAAGCAAATTAAACATCAGCATAATCCAGGTGATACTAGAAAAGGGTCATCAAAGAAATTAACTTTGTTGTTCATTAATTTACATGGATTAGTAGAGGGCAGGAAGATAGCAAATGTGCTCTAGTTTTTTATGATATAATTTCAAACTGTACACCATTTGTGGCAGGAGGGTGACTTTGGGGTTAATCAGACTGATTTGTCCTTTTAATTGCTTTCTATTCAAAGAAAATTCATTAGATAATGTTCTCTTCAAAATTCATGAATCAATTTAACTGAAGAAACCACATTAACAGCTTTGGGTTCATTAGCACATGCGGTTGTGTTACCGGCTGATTGCTGGGGGGGTTTCCTTGTGCAAACACACTCTGTTTACTGTCATTTCTTCAGAAAGCCTTTTGAAATCAAACTGTTAATCGTTATTGTTGTTGTTGTTGTGCCTGACTTCGAAAAAGGGAAGAAAAGCGAGGTAGCCTGGTGGAGGAGGAGAGATTTCAGGGGCAGCAGTCTTGGAAAAGAAACAGTAAAAGCAGCCCGGCGGTGCTGCGGGGAACAGGCCAGTCTCCCGCCTTCCTCGGAGAGCACACAGAGTTGGTGGCTTTGTTTCTGTGCTTTGACCTGGGGAGAAGATGCTGCCCAGGGTTTCTGGGAGAACAGCCTGGAACTTTACTAAACCTGTAAGAAAAAAATAGAGGGAGGCGTGTGCAAACTCTACTGGAGCACGGAGCGGTTCTGAGAAACAATGGCACGGTGCCAACGCCGTGTCTGAGCGCCAGCCTCGAGTGCCGCTCTGACAGATGACTGCCAAATTACGGAGCACCTTTCTCCTCAACTGTAAAAGTGTCGTGTAATAAAACACTTACACGTCCGCATATGAGCACAGAGTTTATCAAACACGTTCAGCTTCGCTGTCGGTTTTTCATGGGAAACCAGCTCTTAACTGGTACATACCAGGCCATGTATCAGGAAGCACAGCTCAAAGAATGCAATATTTAGCAATCAAGTACGTCGTCTTACATATGTATCTGAAAACTCAATTTCACCCTGTAGGGAGCAAATGCATTAATTAGTTTAAGCAGCTCTCAAAGACAGTGCCTTTAATCCTAACCTGCACAAAATCGGATGGCTGAGCTGCCCCCTTTTTGGGGAGGGGTCAACACTTTAAGTATCTTTCTAAAATGGAATGAAATCTTCTCATAAAAATTAACACATGTTGATGGGGAAAATATAATTTCTTGAGGTCGAGGAGACTATGTCAGTCCTCAGCGGCTGGCCCGATAATTTCGCGTGGCCCAAAGGGACTGCCATTAAAATATCATCCTTCTCTCTCATCCCGGTCCTCTCCGCAGGGCAAGCCCGAGACCCCGGCGCTCTGTGAAGCAGCCTCCAAATGCCACATTCTGGATGTTCCTTTCCTTTGCTTCTCTCCTCTTCTTGTCTTCTCTCCAAACTCATCCTTCTTCCTGCCTGTTCTGGGGTCCCGTGTATGTCGCGCTGTGTTTACGTGCCCGGGGTGAAGGGACACTCGGCGGGAGGCTGACCTGCTTTGTACAGTTTCCTCATCTTACAGACACGGGACGTGGCAGATTTCACTTTGGGTGGCTGCTTAAATACATCCACTGTAACAAATCTAGCCGGCAGAGGACTGTTTTCCAAATTCTCTCTCTGCCTGGATTGTACATCTTCAACTGGAGGCCGGATGCCATTTTTTGATGTTGGCCTCAGGAGAAGTTTTGTGTCACCGACACCGGTTTTTATGCAAGTTCTTTTCATGCCACATTACGGGAGTGGAGATCAGGGCTCTGAGCAGGGCCGACTCACACACTTGGACCAAGTCAAGCAAGCCCAGCTGGTGCGGAAGATGCCGCACACCAGGAGCCCGGCAGGAGGACACAGAAGGGACCAGCCTGGCTGAGCTGGGACGAGTTCCTTCCTTCTCCTGGGCCTCTGTCTCCCCTCCATGATAAATATCGTCTTAAGAGCCACCTTGACAAACAAGTCTGTGCCTCACTGCTCATGTCCAGGCCCGGAGCACAGCTGGCCGAAGGCAGGGCTGGCCTGGAAGCCGGCTCTCTCAGAGATCAGCACTTAGATTCAAGGACCGGGAGCCTCCTCCCCTGTGCCGCAGAGCCCTGCACTTGTGAGTTCTTGGAGAAGAGTCTCTTTCCTTCCACCACCACAGCCCCCTGGGGGGTCATCTTTGTCGAGGGGTGTGGTTTCCCGAGGTGGGGCCTGCCTGCAGCAGCCCAGGCCTTGGGGCCCTTCCTTGGCCAGGCTGTGGCTAGGGGGGCACGCTCTGGCCCAAGTGCAGCCTGCAGGGCCCTGACTGCCTGGCAGCGTCTCAGCAGCTGTGCCTGGCCATGGACTCAGCCTGCAGAATCCCTGGCAACAGAGAGCACTGCCCAGCTCCCGCCACGTGCCCTGCCAGGGCAGCAAGTGCCTGGAAGGGGCTCCCCAGGAGCTGGCGTCCACGGCACGCGTTACAGCTATTTGACCTCATGTTGCCTGGCCATCAACAGTAGCCAGAATAAACTTTTTTGAGGAATGAACCTGAAACACGGAGCTGGAGGGAAACAGGGGCTCCATTGCAGGTAAAATGGAGCAGGCACACTGTCTTTGGTTTCTCCCACTGGACACCTTTACAAAAAGCCGGGCAGAGGGCGCAGAGCAGCTAGGCAAGGGCTGAGGGGAGTTGGCAGTATCAGGCAGACCGGGGAAGGTGCCAGGACTCGGAAATACTGCCAGAAAAATAAATGTGCACGTCATTTCCCCTCCTCGTCCCTGGCCTGGACGTACCACAGCCTGAGCCCTGAAGGTGGCCCTGGCACAGACGGCATGCCAGGGGCTCTACTCCACCTCCAGGAGGTAAGCACGTCTCCTCCTGCTGCGCTTTGAGTGTGTCTCCAAAAAGTTCTCTTAATTCCAGTGTAACAATATTATCAGGCGATTAGGCCGTGAGGGCTCTGCTGTCACGAATGGATTGATGCTGTTATTGGGGGAGTGGGTTAGTTATCAAGGGACTCTGGCCTCCCTTTTCTCTCTGTCCTGCATACTTGCTCACAACGTGATGCCTTCTGCCATGGGATGACCCTCGCCAGCCACCAGCATTATGCGCTTGGACTTCTCAGCCCCAACCGGGAGCCAAATAAACGTCTCTTTTTGGTCTGACCCCCAGTTTGGGGTATCCTGTTATAGCAGCGGAATATGGACCAAGGCACCTATGCTCAGAGAGAGTGAGGGAATCACCCCTTTTTGGTATTATCTCTGAACTCCTGTGCCTCATCCCCTCCCTAAACCATCCTTTAGTGGTATGGTCTGGTAATGGGGGCCACAAGAGCCTAAGCTTCTGAGGAAGAGATGGTCCCTTCCTGATGGGATGAGGTATGGTCCTCCCAAGAGGTGGGAGTCCCCACTGCCTTGCTTTTTTCCTTTCTCTGTGTTTCTGCCACCTGGCTGCAGATCAAGTTTCAGCCACAGGAAGTGTGTACTATAGAGGGGCGAACAGAGTCACAGCTTTCTGTCCAGGAGACTGAAAAGTGAGCCCTGAGAACTCAAAAGTACCAGGGAGATTGTGGAGAAAGAGGAATTTGTGAAAGCAAGCCCAGAAATTGTTCATAAATTCCTGGATTCACCTGTCCATGTGAGCTGTCCATTTACCCATCTGTACACATGTGGATCTGAGCCTAAACCAAAGACTTTAAGAGTAAGATTTAGGCACTGCTAGGTCTCATAGTGGCTCTGAGTGATGAATAAAAGGACTGATCTGAAAAGGCTTTGAAAATGGAACAAACATCAAAATCATAACCCACAGAAGATAGATCAGAACTTATGTACTAAATACAACCAGGCTGACCACCTTCTCCTAAAACAAAAAATATCAACATTATCCACAGGATTTATATAAGAATCAGAGTCTCATAATATTCAAAATACCTGGGAA